GGCCATGTGTAGGGGTGTGCGTGTACATGGCCACATTAAGGAAGTGTACATAGCCATGTGTAGGGGTGTCTACCTGGCCATGTGTAGGGGCGTGTACATGGCCACGTGTAGGAGAGTGCGTGTACATGGCCACGTGTAGGAGTGTCTACGTGGCCACGTGTAGGGGTGTATAGAGATGTACGTGTACATGGCCACATGTAGAGATGTGAGTGTACACATTCACATGTATGTAGAGAACTATGTATTTAGTAAAGGAACTTCTCATTCAAATGGGATCTGTTGAATTGATGTGTGATACAGATGATGGTGGAATGAGGCAAAGTCTCTCCCTACTCAGCCACCCAAGTGTGCCCTCTCTCAGCCTTGCCAAGGAACCCTGGGAGAAGGGCTGAAGAGTGACAAAATAAACAGAAGGGGCACCGGTCACTTGTGGCTGGCACATCTGTCTGTCTGCCTCATCTCAGCTAACCCAATGGAGCGGGCTGTGCCCCGGCATCAAGCGTCACCCATGTGTGGCCATGTGCCCTCTCAGAAGGGGGCTGGGGCTGCACTGGCTGTACTGTGAAGGGGTAGTGTGACCCACCACTGGGGATGTGGGTCTTTTAATTTCATACGAGGCCTTAATCACCTTACCTTGGAAATAAATTCAGTCACTTCAGAAGAAGATTTGGTTATGGATGTTACTGAAGAATCAGACCACAAGACCTTAAAAACAAACAAACAAACAAACCTTCAGAACAAACAGCACAGACTGAGTTCACAGCACATGTGTCCTGGCACCACTGCTGGCACAGGTGCAGCGAGCACGCCAAGCCCTCGTGTCCTGTGTCCCCGTGCACATGCCTTGTCACAGAGAACAGCCCTGTAATGCAAGCCCAGTGAAGCCTCGCTCCTCGTTTCATGCAATTTAAATCAAACATCACCAGCGTCCTCAAGTGTAGGGTCTAAAGTTTACTATTCTAAGTTTTAGAAAATCTCTTGACAATTATGAATTTTTTTTTTGTTTACTTGTTTTTGTTTTTTTTTTAGAGACAGAGTCTTACTTTATCACCCTCGGTAGAGTGCTGTGGTGTCACACTTCACAGCAACCTCCAGCTCTTGGGTTTAGGCAATTCTCTTGCCTCAGCCTCCCACATGGCTGGGACTTATAGGCACCTGCCACAACGCCCGGCTATTTTTTGCTGCAGTTTGGCAGGGGCCGGGTTTGAACCCATCACCCTTGGTATATGGGGCCGGCGCCCTACTCACTGAGCCACAGGTGCCGCCAGACAATTATGAATTGTTGGCCATTCCCAGTTCTGTAGCCAACTGACGGCCTGAAGGGTCCAGGATGCTGCAGGGAATCTCCACCAGCAAGAAGGCTCTCACTAGATGTGGCCCTTCCACAATGGCCTTATCAGCCTCCATAATTTTAAGACATAAATTTCATTTCTTTGTAAATTGTTTTTTTAAACAGTCTTGATATGTCACCCTTGGTAGAGTGCCATGGCATCATAGCTCACAGCAACCTCAAACTCTTGGGTTCAAGTGATCCCCTTGCCTCAGACCCCCAAGTAGCTGGAACTCCAGGTGCCTGCCACAACACCCAGATATTTTTTTGTTGTAGTCATCATTATTGCAGGCCTAGGCCAGGTTCGAACCCGCCAGCCCCAGTGTATGTGGCCAGTGCCCTAACCACTGAGCTAGGGCACCAAGCCTTTTCTTTATAAATTAAAAAAAAAAAACTGTGAATGCCACCATTCATCTTCTTCAAGGGAGCAACTCTTCTTAGGTGAGTCTACATGACTTTAGATGCAAAATCGAGATGTCCCTGGAAATAACCCTTTATCCAAGAGTACGTGCACATCTGTAGGTGCTGCAGACCTGAGGGCGGCACAGCCCTGTCTCAGGACGTGGCGAAACCATGGGGGCAGCACACGAGTGAACGCACAACAGCAAGACAGGGCAGTGGGCACCAGACTCTCTCCCCTGGGAGGAGGGGTCAGGTAGGAAGAGCCCAAAAAGCACGAGAGAAGCCCAACGCGGTCAGGACACCAAGTGTGCCCCAGCCTGATGCCGGCAGCACAGGGGCAGCCTTACTGCTGCCTCCACTGAGGCTGTCTCTCGGCATGGACCGGGCTGCTGGGGAGGGGCTTGTCCTTGCGATTTCTTCTGTCCTCCAAGCTGCTTAATCCACCCAGCAAGGGAGGGAGCCCCAGCTGTGCATGCGGGGGGCGTGGCAAGGCCGGAGAGGGGTGGGGAGCAGGAGCAGGAAGGTCCCGCCTAACACACCCTGTGTGCACAATCGAGTCCCTAGACTTCACTGGAGGACTTCAAGTCAGGAAATAAAATGATCAAAATGTACTCTATTACGCAAAAAGAAATTATGTTTACACTGATTTGGACCAAACAGAGCCTGGAGATGTTAAAGCTGCCTCTGCTCCCTCCAACTTAGCGCCTCTGGGCCGGGCAGGCTCTGCTTCCCAGTCCCTCTGCTTTGTTGCTGTCACAGCGTGGAGCAGTTCTAGGCGGGGCTGCTTGTCAGACCCTCACAGAACCAAGGTAACCGAGGGACAGGGCCTCTTCCTCACTCCGAATTCCCAGCGCCTGTGGAACTCACCAACAGACACACCTGGCATTCTCCAGCCTGGAGTTGCCACCAGGCCCTGCCATCCAAAGTCTTTCCACAACTGAAGAGAGAACATCTGACCTGCTTCCTGTTCTGAAATACTAAAGCCACACAGCACCAGAAAGAAGCCTGGAGGGCTGAGACTGCCACCCAGGTAACATACCAGGCAGCGGCACTGTTGCCAACTTGCATTTTTTGAAGTAAAACCTATTGTAGAAAACGTCCTTACAAATCGCAGCTTGTTTCTAGGGTGGATTTACCTCTTCCTTCCTTCATGGACGGGTCCTCACCCAGCAGAGCAGGGGATTCAGCACAGCAAAGCGGCCCCAGAGACTACCTCCTCTTAACAATCATGCACTTCAGGCACACACAGCCACCCTCATCTGCCAGCTCTGCTTCACTCACAGACGGAGCTGACATTTCGGGGGGATGAGGGGGGCAGCCAGAAAGAAGGCGAGTACACGGGCCACCGTGAAGCCCGGGAGCCAGACCACACGAGGCCACATCACCTGAAGAGTGAGTGACAAGCCCCCTGGAGGTCACCAGCCCGACCAGGCTACAGGAACATGTGCCAACCACACCAAGGGGGCGCCGGTTGTCGGCTGCTTCGTTGCTTATCAGATCATGGTGTAGCATTTTTCTGTCACCATTAGAATTCCACATTTTAGTGGAATAGTCTTCTCCGGGCACATTTTAATAACCCAATCACATCCCAAATGCAAAATAGGCACAGCTCACACATGCTCCCGGGCACCTTCCCATGCAGACGCTGACTACTGCGAATCTTCTCACTCTGCTCTCAAGGCCTGCACTTCTCTACACCGCATCCCCACGGGAGCTCTGGGGGCAGCACAAGAAAAGAGCTAAATGTCCCTGGGGAAGCCCTGGCCACACTCCTAAGGGACTAGCAGAGCCATCAAGCAGAAAAAAGCAGCCTGGAGGAAGCACGGACTCTCTAAGAAAACTAAAAATTATCATTAATACTCTGATTAAGAGAAGAAAGTACAGGTGGCGCCTGTGGCTCAGTGAGTAGGGTGCCAGCCCCATATACCGAGGGTGGCAGGTTCAAACCTAGCCCCGGCCAAACTGCAACAAAAAACAGCTGGGTGTTGTGGCAGGTGCCTGTGGTCCCAACTACTCGGGAGGCTGAGGCAAGATAATCACCTAAGCCCAAGAGCTAGAGTTTGCTGTGAGCTGTGACACCACCGTACTCTATTGAGGGTGACAAACTGTAACTCTGTCTCTAAAAAAAAAAAAAATAGAAAAAAGTACATCCAAGAACAGGCTGCTATGAAAAAAGAACCATTAAGAGCCTAAGAGTTCTGTGCAGTGAAAACCAAGAGAGCAGCAGTGAGAGCCCAGCTGACAGGATGAAAGACGCTTCGTAAGGAGCAGAAGGGCCCTGGAGGTCACCAACATGTGTGAACACAACGGCATTCTGGACAACCAGAGGGCAAAGTCCTTGTCAGTAAGGGGCAACGGCAAGGCAACGTGGGGACATACAGTGTGGGCAAGAAAGGAAGAGTGCCCAGGGTACAGGGCTCCACCACTCCCACCAAGGGCCACAGGCACCGTCACTCCAGCTCAGAGTCCAGGGCCAGACAAGTCCTGCAGACTCGCTAGACTCTGAACTACGCACACACATCTGATGAAAACAAAAACTTCATTTCTTACCAGCTGGTCCTGAAAACAAACAAAAACCAAATTCAATTTTTAAAAGTTGCCAAGGGAGCACCCCTAGCTCAGTGGTTAGGGCGCTAGCCACTTGCTCTGGGGCTGGTGGGTTCAAATCTCACCTGGGCCTGTGAAACAAACAAACAAAAAAATAGCCTGGCGTTGTGGTGGGTACCTGCAGTCCCAGCTACTTGGAAGGTTGAGGCAAGAGGATCAGTTGAGCCCAAGGGTTTGAGGTTGCTGTGAGCTGTGATGCCACAGTACTCTACTGAGGGGGACAGACCATGATTCTGTCTCAGAAAAAAAAAAAAAAAACTTGCCAAGACTCATCCTATGACACTACAATAAATACAGTATCTGGGTGATTTTAAGGAAGAATAATTTTAAAAGAGTTGCTTTTTATTGTGATTGTTTCGTAATTCTTCTTAAATCAATACAACTCTACTATCATCATAGGTGTTTCAAAGGGTTGCTGAATCTTTTAATGTTTTTTCCTCCTGATTCATCATAATAAGAAAACTTCAAAGTTCTAGTTATTTCAATTTCTTTACAGTAAATTTGGAAAAGCTAGTGAATGTAGACATTTCACACATACACAGTTACGGACTAATTTTATATTCCAAAGACGCTGCCGTTGCTTCCTGCGTACTGACTGGATTTCCTCAGTAACCAGCAGCCAGTAATTACAGTTTCAGAAAAATCAAAACCACCTGCATGGAGAAGAGCCGGAAACTCCACTCCTATGCGGAGTGGACTTGAGTAACGTGGACACCTCGAATCTGGAAACTGCCTTCCTCATTACAGAAGGCCTCCTGCACAGCTGTGCCCTCTCACTGGCACTCTGGATAGCAAGGACACGTGCAGGTTTAAACTAGAGAGAAACAAGGCAGACACAATTAGGGGAAAGTGATTTATTTCTCCCTGAATAAGTGAAAGCCTCCAGAAAAAAGAAAGTGTCTTTGAATCTTCACACACTATTAGCAAGAGACTGTCATCCCTCACTAAAGTATGGCACAGTAAAATAGTTATTCATTTCCATTTACGAAAGACAATTTCTTTAAGGAAAATTTAACTTTCATTAGGGTTCTTTGAACAAAAATAAAATTTGAATCCTCAAATAATTTTTTTAAAAAAGAGGTTTAATACATTTTAAACAATAGTAAAGCACATATAGTATACAATTTGATGTTTCAACATTTGTGAACACTCCGGAAACTTCCTCCAGCTCTCAGGAAACCACTGGCTTTCTGTTGCTATGTGTGAGTCGGCCTTTCCCAGGATGCCGTGTGAACACTTGTGGTGGACGTACAGTGTTGCGTCCTTCTGCCTACACTGCTGAAGACATCAGCAGCCACCGCAACCCCAGTGTGCCCACCCGCCCTCCTGTGAACGGACATCAACACACAAGCTGCTCTGAACATTCACATGTGCATCTCTCCAATATTCATGATCTCCCTGGTTAAGACAGAGGCCTGGAACTGACGGGTCACACTGACTTTTTAAGAAACTGCCACTATTTTCCAGAGTCACCGCGGCATTTCTCATTCCCAGTAACGAATAAGAGGCCGGCTACTCTGCGGTTCCGTGAGCAGGCAGTGTGGGGTCTTTTCCACCTGAGCTGTCCTGCCAGCAGTGCTGACCCACACATTCCTGGACATCCTTTCACACCTGCTCACGCCACACACCTTCCTTAGCGAACCGTTCTGATCTTTCACCCATGTTTTACTGAGTTGTTTGCTTACCATGAAGCCTGAAGAGCCTTCATCAGACGTGATTTGTTACTATTTTCTCCTAATCCAGGGCTTATCTTTCATTCTCTTCACAATACCTCTCAATGAGCAAGTTTGACAATTTTTTGAGACAGCGTTTCACTACATCACCCATGGTAGAGTGCTGTGGAGTCACAGCTCACAGGAACCTCAAACTCTTGGGCTTAAGCAGTTCTCTTGCCTCAGCCTCCCAAGTAGCTGGGACTATGGGCACCCACCATAATGCCCAGATATTTTTTTGGTTGTAGCTGTCATTGTTGTTTGGCAGGGAGGGGCTGGATTCAAATCCACCAGCTCCAGTGTATGTGGCTGGCACCCTAGCCCCTGAGCTATAGGCACAGAGCCTGGCATTGTTGTTTTAGCAGGCCTGGGCGGGTTCAAACCCTCCAGCCTAGGTGCATGTGGCTGGCACCATAACCACACTGCTACAGGCACGGAGCCCAAGTTTGACATTTTGATGAAGTCTAATTTATCAATTTTGTCATTTTTTGGCACTGTGTCTAAGAGATCATTACCTAGTTTAAATCACAAAGTTTTCTCCTACACTTTCTCCTGGAAGTTATGTGGATTTTAGTTTTACATTTAGTTCTGTAATCAGTTTTGAGCTGGTTTTTGTGTACACAGATGTTGGTTCCAGACTTCTTTTTTTTTTTTTTTTT